AAAAAAAATATATCCCCCATATATATATATATATATATATATATATATATATATATATATATATATATATATATATATATATATATATATATATATATATATATGTATTAGGACAAATTTCAAGTAAAGTCTCTTTTCTTTGTTTTTTTTTTCCATAAGTATTTTTTCATATTTTCCAAAGAGCATCAAACTTGAAAATGTTCATTTAAGCAAATAACAACGATGATAAACTTATTGATATATCCTATGAACCAATTTACATGAATCAATCTAATTTTTTTGGTTATAATATTTTATATATGTTTATAATGTTTTGATAAAGGCATAAAAAATATTATAACTAATTGATAAAGAGTATATAGTCACTCAATTGTCATCTCACATGTAATCATCACGTGATGTCCAAGATAGTGTATATATATATATATATATATATATATATATATATATATATATATATATATATATATATATATATATATATATATATATGGATGACACCTTTCACTTGCTTGTCTACATGGACAATATCTGGAGGGAGGCAATTATAGATTGCTTGTTGCTTATATGGATAAGAGGTTAATAGGAGACTATTGAAGGTAATTAGATGTTCCCGTAAAATATTTCATAAAATGTTTTACTCCATTTATGACCAATTATAAAAGTAAATTTTCAAGAGGAGGGAAAGAATTTACCTTTTTGGAATATTAGCATCTGCATCTATATATCTCATGTTACTGACTTTGGTATCGGAAAAATCAGGTTGGAAAATATTTCTCAACCTTAGTCTTTTTATATGAGACATATCGAGAGTTCGACATTTCAACCTCAAAGGTATCTCAAACAATTCTATACATGAGTTTAGATCATGTTGAACTAACCAAGATGTCAACGATATATTTCTTCAATACTAACATTAATATTTTCATAATTATTCTTATTTTCAAACCAATAAAGGTTCCCATTTGATATATATATATATATATATATATATATATATATATGAGCTGATTTATGTTAGGTTTTGTATTCATTTGTCCCAGTTATATGTTTTAATAGACCTATAGTATTTTGGTGGAGGTGCCAAAGCCACTATATCTCTATTTAAGAATATTATAATTGATATAAAAGTATATTTTTATTATTTTTTTTATCATAAATCAATAATGATATTTATTTAAATCATATTTTTATAGTAAACTATAATCAAACCTCCCATTTAAGCTTATTTATTTATTTTTCTTGCAAATAAAATTTAAAAATAAATATTCAACATTTCAAGTTAAGTGATACTATTTTTATCAATAAATTAAATAAAAATATAGATATAATAAATAGAAAAAATAATATCTTATGTGATATTTAAGGGGAGGAATATCTCTTATCCCTCACCAAGTCTAAATTTTTTTCTATTCCTTCTACGTGTTTAAAATTATTAGATTAAATCATATTTTAATTATTTGTGCTACATGTGATTTCTAAAATTTTTATCTTGCATGTACGATGCTAGTTGTAATACTTGATTTCTATTATACTTATATTAAAAATATTATTTCCTTCATTATATAATTTAATCTTTTTAATCTAGTATTATTTATTTATATTTTAATTACTTATTATTGATAATTTAAATATTTTAATTATAATTTCATGATACTATAATTTGAAATAAAAAAATTTGATTAGGATTTGGGTTGAAATTAGCCAACAAGCCAAGCTTAGCCTATATAGGCCATAGCCAGTAAACTAGGCCTAGTCAACAAGCTAAACCCTACTAGCAAGTTAGGCCCCCCACCAATAGTTTAGCTTGACCGGATAGCTATTTGCGGTGCACATTACTAGTAACTAAGTCAAAATTGATTAGTTTAGATCGATTTAAGATGTTTTCAAATCGATTTGATTTATTCAAAACTTTTTTAATTTAAATTAAACTAAATCTAGTCCTATAACTTTAAGATAGTTTTAGATCGATAAAATGAGAATTAGATATTAGTTTTATTAGGTTCTAATGAAATTAAGTTCAATTGGATTGATTGAGCTAAGGTTAAACTCAATTGAAGACTATTTGATATTAATGATATTTAAAAAATAAATTAAAATAATTTAATATATTATTTTATTTCGATATGGGTATGATTAACATGAAAATGATTTATTTTCTTATCTATGGTAGATAGGGCGATTCACTTTAGGGGCTAATGAACGGTCAAATGTGGTAGTTGAATGGATCTTCCATGCGAAAAACGTGTCTTCATTTTGATTGGTGAGAGACACAATTTTATTCTCTATTGAGAGTGTGAAATATTTGTCTCTATCTATTATTAAAAGTTCATTCACTTAATATATACGAGTGAATGATTGACTTATATATATATATATATATATATATATATATATATATATATATATATATATATATATATTACAATTGACTTATAAAAGTTACTATTTAACATTATTAATTTTTTTATTATTTTTTGTTTTGAAAATAGTCTTCCAATAACACTATATCAAATTGTAATGAAAAGCATACATTTCTTTAGCCAATTAGATTTTATTTTTGAGTTAGCATTACTATATTTTTCAATAAAACCTATGAGTACAGGTAATTTTTATTTTGATGAATAAATAAATTATAATAAATAATTTATAATTTATGTATATTAATAAAATGATGTTTATTTATTTAACTTTTTATGTAACCTTGAAAAAATATTATAATCTTGTGAAAAAAAATTTAGAATGTGATATAGACTGATTTATATATAATTATATTATATATCTATAACTTTTTAGATTTATATATAATTATATATTTTTAACTTAAATGGATGAATTCTTAGAAAAAAATTTAGCTTTGAGAAATTCTTGTAGGGCCTTCTAGCTTTTAAAATTTTCAATGAAATGTTTTTTTTACATGAAAATATTATTTTACTCAAGCTTTTATCGAATCTATTGTAGCTCTACCTTAGTTGCCTATGCCTTTATTGTAAAAAGATCATTTTACTCATAAGAGAATGTGAGCCCTCGGTTGTCTACACCTTCACGCACAAATTAGTAAGTGCGTCTAACCACGCCTCATCCCAAAAAATCATCAATTGCTTGGGGTGCCTCTACACAGGCCTTTCACTCATTACTTTCGTCCTGCAATCCTTTATCGTTCATCATCCCCTTCTTCCTTAGTTGTCTACACCTTCACGTGTAAGTTAATGTGCGTCTAATCACGTCTCTACCCTCTTTCATCTCGAATAATCATTAATTGCTTATGGTGCCTTTACGTATATGGGCCTACTCACCCTTCGCTCATTACTCTCGTCCCCTTATCTTCTATCACTTGTCGACCCCTTCTTTTTTATTTGTGATTGTCTACCTTCCCCCTTCGTGTGTGATTGAATTGGCATGGCTAGCTCTTTGGTCAACGCATAAGTTAGTAATCCATCTTATCAACATCATCAATGATCTAAGGATAAAATCATCGTTTATAAAAAAAAAATTACTGTCTAATTTTTTTGAAGTTGGTTATCAAAACTTCGATATTTTGTAAAAATTCACCGAACTTTTATTTTTTTACAATATTTTCCTTCTACAATATAAAAGTCAAACAGAATCTGACACAGTCATAAGGAATCCAATCCCTCCGCAACCTTCTAGTAATTGCGATGCACACACCCTCCAACTTGTCAACGTAACGCGCCCTTCCCCTTCCCCATTCTTCCAATCTTCCTCAATAATTCACATCGAAGAAATAAGAAAGCCACCGAGATAGCTCATCGGAGGTCCGTCTCTCGGATGGGCGAGGTCTCCGCCACCGCCGCCGAGGATGGTTCCTCCTCTCCTTCCTCCGTCGCGATCCCTCCTCGACCGCCGCCGAAGAAGCTCGCGGTGCTCCCCCTGATCGCCCTCATCTTCTACAACGTCTCCGGCGGCCCCTTCGGCGTCGAAGACTCCGTCTCGGCCGGCGGCGGACCCCTCCTTTCCCTGCTCGGTTTCCTCGTCTTCCCCCTTCTGTGGAGCCTACCCGAGGCCCTCGTCACCGCCGAGCTCGCCGCCAGCTTCCCGGAGAACGGCGGCTACGTGCTCTGGATCTCCTCCGCCTTCGGCTCCTTTTGGGGATTCCAGGAGGGATTCTGGAAGTGGATCAGCGGCACCATGGACAACGCTCTTTACCCCGTCCTCTTCCTCGACTACCTCCGCCAGTCCCTCCCCCTCTTCGATGACCCTGCCGTCCGTACCCTGGCCCTCCTCGTCCTAACGGCCGCCCTCACCTTCCTCAACTACCGTGGCCTCAACATCGTCGGCCTCTCCGCCGTCGCCCTCACCGCTTTCTCCCTCTCCCCCTTTGTCGTCATGTCACTGCTCGCCATCCCTCGCATCCGCCCCCGCCGCTGGCTCGCCGTAAATCTCCAAAGAGCCAATTTTAGGGGATACTTCAACAGCATGTTCTGGAACCTCAACTACTGGGACAAGGCAAGCACCCTCGCCGGCGAGGTCGAGGACCCGAGCCGGTCTTTCCCCAGGGCGATCTTCGGGGCCGTCGTCCTCGTGATGGCTTCGTACCTGATCCCGTTGCTCGCCGGCACGGGGGCCCTAGATGTGTCCACTTCCGAGGAGTGGACAGACGGGTACTTTGCCCAGGTTGGGATGGTGATTGGGGGAGCCTGGCTCCGATGGTGGATCCAGGCGGCCGCGGCTATGTCCAACATGGGCTTGTTCGAGGCCGAGATGAGCAGCGATTCTTTCCAGTTGCTCGGGATGAGCGAGTTGGGGATGCTGCCGGCAATATTTGGAAAGAGGTTAGCATCCATCTACTTGCTATGTCTAAAAGCTTTTTACTGTTAATGACTTTTGCATGCAATTGGCTCAAAAACCTTACTGATAATATGATTCCTGAGCCAAAACCTGACTTTGGATAGGGGAACTACAGGATTTAGATAAGCTTTGGATCATTGAGAAATGCCATCGAAACTTCTATTCAATCGAAGAGATAAGACTTTACAAACTTAAACAAGTTGGAGGATCACCAAATTATTTGAATTCTTGATTAAACTTAGTTGATAAGACATTCAACCAATTCTAAGTTTTAGTGTAGTACATTCGTTGGGTTGTGTCTGAGAGCAATAAGGTTCTACTATAAGGTTGGAATAAACTCTCTAGAGGAAAAAAGAAATTCTTTCTAAAACTTGATAGACTTAAATTTTCATTGTTGTGATTGATGATTACTTGTGGCTTTTAGTTTGCACACATTCGGTGATAGCATGACAATCTCAACCGTAAATTGATACTTTTGTAGATCAAAGTATGGCACTCCGACCATTAGCATCATGTGCTCTGCAACTGGGGTCATAATATTATCATGGTTGAGCTTTCAGGAGATTATAGAGTTTCTTAATTTCTTGTACTCCCTGGGGATGCTTCTTGAGTTTGCCGCATTCATAAAACTCAGAATAAAGAAGCCGGATCTCCACAGGCCATATAGGATTCCCGTAGAAACCTTTGGCGCGGTGGTTATTTGCATACCTCCCACTTTTTTGCTTGTCCTTGTTATGTGTTTGGCTTCGATGAGGACATTTATCGTAAGTGGAAGTGTCATGCTCATCGGGTTTCTTATATATCCTGCCATAGAGCACATGAGGAATAAAAAGTGTGTTAAATTCATCAACATGCTGCCTGAGAGCTGTTCCGACACTCCTACAGTGCAAAATCAGGAAATTGTTGATGAGGCTTCTGTAAGCCTTTTGCCGTGACATTCTTGTGTCAAGAAGGAACCACAAGACTTTGAGATTAATTTCGATGGCATCTTGGAAAAGGAATGAGAGAGAACTGCACATTTGAAGTATCAGGAACTACATATACTTGATATGTTTAGGCCTGTAATGTAACAACACATTATGGTAAGCTATGTATCCTTCTCAAAATATCAGTGTGTAAAGGATGCAAAGTTTGGCAAAGCATTATAGTTCCCTCTTACATTTTGATTATACGCACTCATCGGCAATTAAATCTTTTTATGACATCATGTATGAACTTTTCCACTCATGATTAAATATCCGTAATTGACATGATGTTTTTGTTGCTATTCTTTTTTTTCTATGAGCAAGTTCTTCCAATGCAAGACATCAATTAGTACTTACCGATGCTAACAGTAAACAAATGGCAGCATATTATATCCTAGAGTTTGGACGTAAATTGTGAAAGAAAGGCATAATACTTAGCAGTGATAATATTAATGAGACAGGTAAAGCTGATGAAGGATTATATTTAGTACTCAGGATGTGAACAAAGGTGAGTGAATTCATGAGAAAACTTCGAAACATTATCCACGGAAAATATGCCTTGCTTTTAGGAGAAGCTATTTGGAAAAATATTAATCATGGTAAGAAGATACAATAGCTGAGGACACAAAAGTTGGGGAACATCCTAGCTTCGAAGAATTTGTTGAAGTGAAAAGTAGAATTAGCAGCACTTCTGACCTTAAACTTTATGCAGATTTTTCATCTAAGATTTATTGTTTGATGCTTAGCCCAAGAAGAGGGTGGTCAGTCATTGTCAATGGTAGAATCCAATGATATTAATAGTTTTCAGAGAGTAGAAAGTAGTTTAATGTTGTGTGTGATAGAATTCCTGTTCTGTTAGTAACTTTTACAATTTTGTGCATTTTGTATGCATATTCTAACAATGAGAACTTTTATTGACTGTTTGACGAATCTCTAGTTTCTTGATTATAGATGATCTTGGTAACTTCTATGCTTTTGTTTTGCATTAGTAGTATGACAGGTATCCTTAAAAGTTTTGGCTCTTAGAATGGTGTCTTCTACCTTGGCATAGAGTATATGAATCTGAAGAAAGAATTTACTGATACATTTGTTCTTAGTTTCCTATGTCAGTAGAGCGTCCAATCTTCTGATGATCAAAGCGGAGTTTATCCACTTTACCTTACAATGATATTCGGTGTTTTGCACTTTAAAGAGAGGGTAGATACATTATGGTATCTCACTGGTACTCAAAGATCTATTAAATGGTCACCATTTTATGGAATTGAGAATTGAGAAAGATGCTGATCTTTTTTTTCTTGTGTAAAATTCGTTTTAATATGTTAGAAAAAAACATCGTCTTGATTCGTGTGCGCGAGGAATCGTATAAAATAAAATGTGATTTCTCTTGACTCATTATTTGCACATAAAATTAGGGTTGGGAGGTTGAGTGGATCCTTTTGATATTTAAGTCAACACTGATATTCATCCACTATCTAGAGTTAAATGTACGTTTTTATACTGACTTTAAGAAAGAAAGAATATTTCAAAAAGATTTTATAAGGGAGACGATGAGTAATCGATCCGAGCTGTCCTCTAGGCTTTCGAGAATATTCTTACAAATATTTCATAGGGAAGGTAGTTCATAATCGATCCAAATTACCTCTTGAACTTTTGAAAATATTTCTATGAATATTTTACGAGGAGATAGTTTATAATCGACACGAGCTATCCCTGGATTTTTAAAAATATTTTTATAAATATTTCGTAAGGTAGCTCGATAATTGACCCAAGTTATCTTTTGGACTTTTATTCGCGTGGATAGTAGGGTGATAAATTATCTAAGCCTTTATCTTTTTATGGGTTTTGCCTAATATTGAGGTGATAATGGGCTATATATATGTATATATATTTTGAACCTCATGTAACTAGCATGTTACTATCCATGCTTTGTGGATTACCTACATAGAAATTTTCTCATATGTTAATCACATGTGTCATGACTATTTTGCTAAGCTCAATTGCGACACTGCCTTCATGTTTAAGCAAGAACATCATTACGTGTTTGAATGTAATTGGTTTTATTGTTGTCAAGCAAAGTGTGTGTGTCATAGGCTGGCAGCTGCGTATGGAACATCACAACTCTCTCCTTATTAGGTGTTCTTGAAAGTTGATGAGGATAGTAATTATGATAAGACTCGGCTGACGTCAGATGACGCCTCACGTAACAGCACCTGGTCAATGCAGATCGGAACTGTTACGGTAAGTAACTTTTTTGCCGTGGCCTCGGGGCCGTCACGACTTGGTTCGGGTCCGGAAGGCGGTAGTCTCTGTGGGGGGCGCTCCTCGAGCCTGCTGAATCTCCGAAGGCGGTGATCTCCGAAGGCTTCGCACCTGCACAAAGGTCGGGTCGGGGTGCTCGACCCGACCCCTCCGACGATCAAGTTAGAGAGAGATATGGAGGGGATTGTGGATGAGGCAGAAGAAGAGCCTCTGAGTGTTTTGTGTCTGAGTGAGTTCCTCCCCCCCTTTGCCAAGGGCTCGGGGGTATTTATAGAGGAGGTTTGAGGTTACCTGATGCAAGGCAGGATTGTACCTTCGGTTGCGTGGGAGGTCGAGCTGCTGCAGGGTATGGCGAGCCTCGGGCAGTGTGTTGCTCAGGGGGATGGCGTGTCACATCATCATTTTTGCCCCTATCATATGCCCCCCCGCCCGAAAGGAGCTATGCGTCGGTTCTTGCATGCATGGAGTCCGATGCATGGCTTCTTACTTTAGGTAGGCTGTTCATGCGGATCCGAGGGGCATGACGCAGAAGGGCCGGTCGCGCGAACGCGTCTCGAGCAGCACGAGGCCGAGGTGCGCAACTTAGTCAGGAAGCCGAGCAGAGTTGGACTCGGGGGCAATGGAGCCGACGAGGGCCGAGGGGCACTGCGCAGGCGGACTGGGTGGCGTAAAGCCGAAGAGCCGAGGAGCACGACGCAGGCGGGCAGGCCGCGCAGGCGTGTCCCGGGTGGCGTAAAGCCGAGAGTCGAGGAGAACGACGCGGGGGGACTGGCCGCGCAGGTGTGGTCTCGGGTGGCGTAAAGCTGAGGGCCGAGGAGCACAACGCAGGCGGGGTGACCGCGCAGGTGTGATCTCGGGAGGCGTAAAGCCGAGGGCCGAGGAGCACAACGCAGGCGGGGTGACCGTGCAGGTGTG